TATCAATCAACCTTAATCCGCTTAACAGTGATTGGAAGAAAAGCACTGGAATAATTCTGCAAAACTGCAAATCAAGACCATAAAGAATAAATCAAAAGAACAATGTGGATTTCATACTTCAACAAAGGAGCTCAAAACAAAGTTATGATATACCAACACTTGTTCTTTCAATACATGAAGGCATTAGCTACTCAAATTTTTCACTAATTTTTCACTTATCTTGTTAGTTAATACTATTTTTTAATCCAATTTAAATGTTGAATTGCATTTTTCCCAATATTGTTCTGATCTTATTGTTCTGATTTTTTATGATCACCTACTGTATTTACATGTTTTTGTAAATAACTTATCTAATGTGTTAATAAAATGCTCAAAAATACAGCTGACCATCTTGCAAAAGCAGCTCTTACAATCTCCGAGTTATGTTGCCATTGGCAGCTTGATTTCTTACAGTGTAAAAGTTGTTGATTGTACGATTTTAGTCAAAAAGCTTATCACTCGATACTGTTTGCCCCGGCCTGTAAACAACAATAATCTTTATTCATTCCTTTTTTTTTGTAATTTGCTTTCTGATATCTCAATAACTATGAGATAAATAAGTTACAGAATGGAAAATGCTTGTACGGTTTTTATGCACTCGTTAATGCGTATCAGAAAACTCAGACTACGTTCTCACGGAACCGGTCAAGTTTGAGGACACCTCAGTTTTAGAACAATCCCACTGTTCACACGGAACCGTCCACCTCGCCCGTTCGTTTTCTTACACGTCTCAAATCGTGCATAAAAAAACCGTACGCGCGCATTTTCCATTAAGTAATCTTTATATAATGCATTAATAAAATGCCTACAATGCCATAGAAAATGCTGCAATATCATCTCTTTGTTATTGAAATGACTTGGGAATAAAAATTGTTGTTTTTTTAATTGCACCCTGTTCTATATGACGTCATAGATATCAGGTAATTTTTAGATAAATGATATATCTAGATCTAGATAACCAGTCAAAGATCATATCTAGGCATTAAATGCTCTCCTGTGATTTTATAGTTTTTTTGTATCCATGGTAATGAGTGCGACATCATAATTGTGATGACGTCATTTCCTATAGTGTCTTTGTCGTCTTTGAATAAAATTGAATCCAAATCTTACTTTTTTTCGTCAAAGTCCGAAAGTTTCAGAGCTGTAGCTGTCTTGGCTCGAAAGTTATTGGCATTTTACGATTTTACGAACCATTATTTAATTAGATTTGGAAGTTCGTACCCAGTCCCTTTTTCGTTTTGTTATCGGCCAATTAGCATACGTCATATAAGTCTACCTCCGAGTCTGCGGCATATCATCGTATACTACTACTTTTTGCTTGACTTATATACTAATAAATTAGCTTGTTAAGAACCATGTGGGAGGACGTGTGCCTTTTGTAACTGAATGAAACATAAGCGCATGCTCAGAGTACTAAATGTCCCATCCAATCACACATTTTTGCAGTTACCAGGGCAAAGGTAGCCCTGTCAAATATACCATAATAATCAGCCAATCACGTGCATACCTACAAAGTAACCTG